GAAGTACTCAAGACTTAGGGTCTGTCTATGCTTTTGCTGAGAGTTGACACTGGCTCAATGGTACATAATCAAATAATTATAAATCACTTATTAAGTGTAAGAATGAGTGTAGTTGATACCGAGACTGAATGATGGACAGTACTATTTGGATATATGCCTTCTAAGACAATTTGAGGTAGTCCACTTCTTCCACTGAGCACTTAAGCAATCACATTCTGTATGCTTTACAACATTTTTCTAAAACAGCTTTTTCCAACTTGAAAATTGCATTACTGACATATTGATTACAATTCACTTCATTGTAGCAACAATTAGAATTGTGCCGTTGAGAATATTTGCAGGAATTCAAATTGAAGATGACTTCTCTTTAACAATAAGGGCTAAAGATTCTGAACAGCAGTGTTTCCTCATTCACACCATTTGTTTTCAATTGCTTAACAAAAATTGTACCACTGTGATTCCTTCAATATAATATTTCTAAGAAAGTTGCCCAGAATTGTGTAGTAAAAGTATCTCATAGTTATTGCACAAGAACTAGTAATGCATCCAAGTTAATGATTATGGAAATAATCACAAATATGTCTTCAAACAGTATCATACTTTAAACCATACCATTGCAAATTTCTTGAAAAAATGGGCCTAATGAATATATTAAATGCAGGTGTATAATAGTCAGAAAGCAACTATGAAAGGAAATGGTTACAAATTGATTTTTCAACAGCCCCAAGTATGAATTCACTCATAATGCTGTACATTACTGAGACTAGTATGTTTAATTCCAGCCTTCCCCAGAGGAGAGGAGAGGAGGCAGCTGGTTGAAAGACAAAAATAAATCTATTTATCATTGTAGAGAAGAATTCAGGCCTAAGATATTGTATACAGACAAAATAACTGATGGCTTTATGAAATCCATAGTCCATGGAGTACTATTCTGTAGGAAGAAATTGTTTTAAATGTTTTAATGACATTCTGTAGTTGCCCACAGAGGGCATACAATAGGTAAGCACAGGAGACCAAGATATCAGCAAAAGAGATAATCAAGGACTATAAAGAGAATTTATTATGGGGAAAAAAATACGATACAGAATTTCACTAGAAGCCTGGTATTTTGTCACTATATTTAGGCTGAAGTATCCTGAGTATACAATACATTGCATTTATATTCTAGTTGGTGGGATGTGGGTAACAGCATGTTTACTTGCAGGATAGTCATGAATTAGAGATCTTAGAAAGTATAGAATACTATATTTAAGATAAAATTAGGCTTTGGTTGAACTTTTGGCATATTAACCAAAATATTTTACTGAATATTGCTAATATTGCAGCGTGGAAATGGCTAAGACTTCACATATCTTATATGAAAACTCAGTTGATCAAAGACATAATATGTAGTGGGGTCAATATTCCTTTGTTGATGATCTGAATGTATGGGAAACGGTGATTTACATGTAAGCAGAATTAATGAACGAAGTAAAGAAAAAATATGAGCTTGTAGAACTGAAATAAAGGGGAAGGATATAGTAAATTTGAATGAAAACAATCTGATTCATTCAATGGAGTTGACCAATACATGGAAGTGTAGGTATAAGCTTATTTATTTATGGTATTTTTATACTGCCCAAAAACTCTTTATTCTAGGAAGCTTAGATATGAGAGAGCTAACAGTCAGAAAATATGAATTGGTATCATCGTGGAATGGACTGTGACCTTGGGGCACAGGAGAAAGAACCACAGGCCAGGCAACTATAATGCAAAAGATATTTCAGTCTACAGAAGAAAAATGATTATGGATCCATCTCAGAAGGGATCCTCCCCTAATTTTCTGGAAGTTAAAAGTAAGAGAGGGGAGTGGTGCTTTCAGACTTGCAAGATCCTGTTATTATAATCTTAAAATAAAAGTAGCTTAGTACACTTGGTTTGTGCCTCTTTTCTGGACTAACTTCAATGTTCAGAAGGGCTGAACTTCTATATTGTTCTGGGTGCATATGAAAAAAGGACTCCATTACATGATGATAGTTGCATGTTATATTCCAATGATTAATGTCGATGAAAGAACCAGAGATGAGTTTTGGAAGAAAAGGTAAAATATTCTGAATAAATATAACCCAAAGGAAAAAAGTCTATGGTTAGCAAATAATTCAACATTACAAGACTGTTGAGATAAAACTAGAATAAATGGTGATTAATGAATGTGGACAGAATACAAAGCGAATGACCAATAGAAAAATACATAAAACTGATTTTCTCATAGAGAGAAAAAGGATTAAATCTCAAAATAAAAGTGACAGAAGAAAAATGAGTAAGTAGAAATCTAACACTAAGAAAGTTGTGTTAGACTGAGTTAATGAGATCCCCCAAAAGAGAGAATTTTGAACAAAAGGAACTGCATGAAACAGTATATGGATAAATGAAAGCAAGGATTGCAAAAATAATGAGGTATTATGAATGGTATTTCCTTTCCTTTCTCTCTTTAATCTCTTTTGTTTGCAACTTTTTATTCTTTCTCTGAACTTTGTTTAATGTTGTTTACTCTAAAAGGGAATAGTATGATTGGTATGTGTATATGTATATATGTAAAGTTGATTTGCAATGCACATTACAGAAATACTTTCAGGCAACTGAATAAAGGGGATCTGTAACTACTAAAGAAAAGTAGATATTAGTTGAGGTTAAAGTTGTTTAAATTCTGAACAACAATGGCATTGAACCTATGCCCCTTAATAATTGGTAAAGTGGGATTACTAAAGTATTATTAAAGTTTGCAAAACATTTTGTAGTTGTCCTAGATTCAGGATAGTTTATCTCTAGATAAGTTTAATTTTCCTTTGTAGACAGAGAAGTTACACATGGAGAAGTGAGTCTGGAAGATAAATTAGAAGACTGTTTACTTTTCATTAAATGAAAATGTATCAAATAAATGTAATGTGAGTAACTTCAGGGAATGGCCCTTCAACTTTCTTTATCTGATCAAGTGGGGATTGAAAAATAAGGATCCCTAAAATTCAACAAAACAATCAGTGTTAAAATTTTCTTCCAAATTAGCCCTTAGCCTTGGGGTAAAATCTACAGTCTATGTGCATCATCTCTCAAGAACAGTCTTTGTTCCACATTAGACACAATTTGTAGTGCTTCCCTACATATATGGACCTTGGACTGGTAACAGTTTGGGGCATTTGCCTGGAAGCATCCATGATGGTTATTAAAAAAACACTTTAAAAATGCATATGATATTCTTGGCAGCTCCTCATCTGAAGAAGAGATCAAGGAAGCCCATAAAAGCCTTGTTAGAACCACAACTTTCAGGGAGAGAAGAATCTGGGCCAAGAAACATTACAGGCAATGCAATAGGAATCTGTTATTCTTTGTCATTTTCTTAACACAGACAAAAAATGAAATTGAAGGCTATGAGATAAAAGTCTGAGAATGCCATAAACAAAGATTTTGTAAGATTAGAGACTATGCCACAACACTATATCACTATTTTTCAAGAGCTAGAAACAAAAACTTCCTTTATTAAGCTGGGCAGTGTAAACCCTATTGTGAATTTTCATACCATAAAATTCTCACCAGAATTTTCTGGCTTGGTCTTTCAGATCACTGAGTATTAGTTTCTATAATATTTTACTATGAAGATCAGACATGATTGCTTTCCTGGCTTTTGACCAATTGCTTTTGTCTTGGACAGACTACTGATTATTAGTTTGGAGATACAAACTGGAGACGTAATGTGTCAAAAGTGGGAGATTTGTTCACAGAGCAGAACTAATAATAGAGAAAATGCAGTAGTCTGTGAACATTACACAGTCAGTAGTAATGTACTTCATGCATCTTTTTAAAATGTATTTGCATATGTCAAAATACTACACCATACTTTTTAAATATTGACATTTTTCATTTTGATTTAATATGACTATGAGATTATTGTGTAACTACAAACATCTTCGAACAACTGAAAAATAATTCAAGGATTTCAATCAGAATAGAGCTGGAAGGGACCTTGGTGGTCTTCTAGTCCAACCACTGCTCAAGCAACAGACCCTATACCATTTCAGACAAGTGACTGTCCAGTCTCTTCTTAAAAAACTCCAGTGATGAAGCACCTACAACTTCTGAAGGCAAGCTGTTCCACTGCTTAATTGTCCTCACTGTTGGGATGTTTCTCCTTTAATTCCAGGTTGCTTCTCTCCTTGATTAGTTTCCATCCATTGTTTCGTTTAAAGATAAATATACACATAGTCTTTTTTGACTCATGATTTCATTTCTTTCTCAAGTAAAAGGAAGGATTCAATCTATTGATGTCAACATTATCATCATCATCATCCAACCTATCTTAGTAAACTGTGGCTGTTTCACGAGATTATACTCTAACATATGAAACAGACAAGAAATTTAACCATTTCAAACAAAAACAATAGAAAAAAGTGTAAACAACAATGGGATCAACATGCAGATATAAAACAAAAATATTAATTAAATCATTTATTCTTGAATAAAATTATACAAATTAACTCATTTAAGCCAATTCTATGATGAAAGCCTCTCAGAATCACTGTATGAGACAGCATACAATGGAATGTTCATAAAAAGTATTTTAAAAAGACACGAGTGGCTGTTGGAAGGAGAAAGACTATGCATCCAAGCAAATACAAAAATGATTAAGTAGCACTTCTGGATTCTGTGCTTTTATGAGTAAGCAAGTTGGGTTAAGAAAAAACTATAACTGTTTGCTCTTAAATCGTGAAAGAACCAGAAGCAACTAATAAGAGCAAAACTCTTTAAAAAGGAGAGAAGAAAAGATAGGAATAAAGAACTCTGGTTCCAAAATATAAAAAAATTCCAGTACACCTAAGAAAAAGTAATGAAATAAAATAATTCCTAGCGCACACTTTTAAAAATTCTCATTATTTTGTTCCTTTTATTGTTTGTTTCAACCTGTATCTACTCTCAGCACAAGTATTGACCCATATTACCTGGTCAAAAGACAAATTTAGCTGACTCACCTTGCTTTGCGTGGAGCACATGACGCAATCACATTCAAAACAATACTGACGCTTCAGGTTCTGCTGGCGTTCAGGAGTGGGCATTACAGTTTCAGTATAACTGATGGTGAGCTGCATGTGACAAAGACCAGAAAGACTTATATTTTGACAAAGAATGCATATAAAACTTATGCAGCCATTTGAATACAAAAAGAAAAAAAAAGGATTCCAAGATTAAAATACTGGATAATCATCTAAGAGGGACAGCAGAACATTTTTTCAACATTACATTAGAAAATAGGTAATCATTTTAAACCATAAATTTATATGGACATAATCGATAATTCTATATTGAAGCAAATTTCCAGTGAACACTATAGAGTCAGGGAGAATTACTGGACTTCAACTCAGAGATTAGAAGGTGACTTTCTTTGTGATACAAAGAAAAATCAAGCATGTTCAGTGGGGCAAGTGTCTAATAAGAACCAGAAAAATAAAGGATGGCTCAAATATATTCTCACTCACATAGAACTATGTCCATTGCTTTCTGTCAAACTAAACTAACTCATAATGAGCTGTAAGTACAAAATGAGTTGCAAAGTCCATGCTTATCTTCAGTTTATACTTGGTCCATTGTTATAGTAGATAATGTATCTTGAGTCTTATAAACTTATTTCACTTTTCCTCTTCTGGTGTATCTGTAAGGACATTGGAAACTTTCACTTCCTTTCGACTAACCATCATGTTTAACCTCAAGCTGTGATAAAGGTTAACAAAAAGTTGTGCACATTTAGTTGTGAATAACATTGTAGAATTCTGAAAAATGCAAAGTTTAGAGTGCATGTAAGTATATATGTATTCCGATTATTATTTACATTTGATAAGTGCCAGTGCAAAATAAATGTATTCTCCATCTTTCCCAAATGATAATTAAACACAGATTCCTGAGATTTGGACACAACACTAAACTCTGGGTGGGTAAAAATGCTTTTAGACATTATTGTTATACTGTAGGAGAATACTCCAGTCTTATTTACCTAATGATAAACTACAGTCCTACACTTAGTCCTACACTTAGACAAGTGTAAAGTTCTACATTTAGGCAAGAAAAACCAAAAGTACACATACAGACTGGGTGAAAACAGGCTTAATAGCAGTAACTGTGACAGGGATCTTGGAGTTTTAGTGGACAACCAGCTAAATATGAGCCAGCAGTGTGCAGCAGCAGCCAAAAAAGCTAATGCAATCCTAAATTGTATTAACAGAGGGATACAATCAAGATCAAAGGAAGTACTAATACCACTCTATAAAGTCTTAGTAAGGCCACACCTAGAGTACTGCATCCAGTTTTGGTCACTGTTACGTTTGGAGAATAATGGAGACCAGACATCTGACCAGTGACTTCAACTCTTTAATAACAATAATTAGAATAGAACAGAGCAAGGCTATGGCAGCAGTAGCCCCTTTTATAGGGTTGGCTGCTACCCTATTAACCAATACTAAGTGCATCAAGTTCAACTAATAACCAATAAGAAGTGTCCTAAGCTTGGCCAATCAGAGGCTTGTTATGAACCAATCCTTGTTCATTGTTTAAGGACCAATCAAATGTGCAGGCTCCCAAAACCTGCTTTGCATTTAGGTTTAGTAATTTTTATTCATTCACAACACCCCTCCCCCTTGGGTTCCGTTTGGGGGGATCTGTAACAAAATCTTCAAGGTAGACAGGCCGTTTGGTCTGTCTGGATGATTTCCGTGGCTCCACCGGGTTTGTTCTCAAGTCCGGTTCCGGTGGAGCGTTTGGATGATCTTTATTAAGTTCCGTTTCGCTGTACGGTGATTCCGTGCTGCTTCCGTTGTTGTTGTCTCCGCCAATCAATGTTTCTTCGGGGTTTTGCAGTTCGGTTTCCCCCGTGTTCAAGTCCCATGGAAAAGTCAACTCCCTCCCCGTTTCAATCCCCGGTACTTCGCTGGGCCGTAGGGTTTCCGTTGGCCTGCTATCCGTCATATCGAAGTCAATTTCCTCGATATTTCCTCCCCCCTCAGTTGGTGAACCCGGGGAGCCATGGGCGCTGGGTAGTAATCTCGAACGGAGTTGGTCTATGTGGCGTTTCCACACCCTACCATCGTCTGTTAGCAGGCGGTAAGATTTAGGCCCAGTGAGGTGGGTAACGGTAGCGGGTATCCATAAAGGGTCGCCGGAGAAGTTTTTGGCAAAGATTAAATCGCCTACCTTAAATTCCCGGCATTTGCTGCTGGAGCCGAAAGGCTTTTCGGGTGCGTATGCGGGGTGGAGCCGGTCGAGGTGCGATCGTAGTTTCCGCCCCATAAGAAGTTCGGCGGGCATTTTGTTGGTAACGCTGTGGGGCGTGATGTGCTGCAATAATAAAATTCGATTGATTTTCTCATCGATGTTTCCGATTCCATTTTGTGGAGGGTCTTTTTTACAAACTGTACCATGCGTTCTGCACGCCCGTTCGCCGCAGGGTTCGCGGGCGAGGTTAGCGCATGGCGGATGCCCCGGTCAGCAAGATATTGTTCAAATGGTAATGCTGTGAACTGTGGGCCGTTATCCGAGACAAGGACGTCCGGAAAACCATGTGTGGCAAATAACCTGTTTAATTTGTTGACAACTGAGTCCGTTGTGGTTGTGCTCATTCGATGGATCTCGAGCCAATTTGAATAGGCATCGACTGTAATAAGGAAAGTGTGCCCTTTTGTAGGCCCCGCAAAGTCAATATGGATACGGGACCATGGTCCTCTAGGAGTTTCCCATTTGGTTGGGCTTGCTTTAGGTGGGGCGTTGCTGACGTCTTGGCAACGTTGACAAGTAGCGACCCAGGCCTCGATTCTTTTGTCGATTCCCGGCCACCAGGCATAGCTCCGTGCGAGTGCTTTCATCCGCACGATGCCCGGATGTCCGTCGTGCAATACCGCTAAAACAGTTCGTTGCAGTTTGCCCGGGATTACGACTCTATCGCCCCACAAGATGCAGCCCTTTTGAGAAAACAGTTTGGTTTGGCGTGCTTTAAAGGGTGCCCATTCAGGTGATAACTGTTCTGTTGGCCAACCACGCTCAACCCAGCGTAGGATGTGTTGCAGGACCGGATCTCGTTTTGTCTCGAGGGCAATGTCTCTCGCCGTCAATGGCGGCGCGTGTAGAGTCTCAATTTGCAACGTTGTGATGGTTGGGGCTGGATCTTCAACCGATTCTGGGAGCGGTGTTCTGCTCAATGCATCAGCGTGGAGAATTGATTTCCCTGGGCGGTGTTGCAAGGTGTAGTTGTACGCCGCCAAGAATTCAGACCAGCGGGTCATTCTGGGGGACAATATATACGGGGTTGGTTTATTACCCGCAATAATCCCCAGTAGTGGTTTATGATCAGTAATTATTGTAAATGCAGGCCCATACACATATTCATGAAACCTTTTAACTGCCGCCACAATAGCTAAAGCTTCTTTATCCAGCTGACTATAATTTCTTTCAGCTTTAGCTAAAGTTCGTGAAAAAAATGCGACGGGAGCTTCTGCTCCGTTCGGTAATACGTGGGCCAAGATTGCTCTAACCCCAAAAGGTGAGGCGTCACAAGTAATAGTTAACGGCAGAGTCTCGTTGTACTGCATAAGTACAGAATCAGAAGTTAGCAATTTCTTTACTTGTTGGAAAGCGTTTTGTTCACGTTGTCCCCAAACCCACGTTGCTTTTTTGTCTAAGAGTCTATGTAATGGTTCAGCTACGGTTGCTTTATTGGGTAAAAAGACGTTATAAAAATTGATAAGTCCAAGGAACGCCTGTAGATCTGCCTTGTTCCTTGGAGTGGGGGCCTTCTTAATTGCCTTTAGTTTGTCCTCAGTGGGATGGATTCCTTGACTGTCCAGGAGGTATCCCAAAAACTCCACCCTTTCGGTACATAGCTGGCATTTATTTTTTTTAACTTTGAGGCCTGCATTTTGGAACCTTTGTAAAACTATGCGGAGTCGTTTTTCTAGAATGTCCCTGTTCGGGGCGGCGATGAGCACATCGTCGAAATACGGTACAACCCCTCTTATCCCTTGTAACAGCCTTTTCATTAAGCTCTGAAAGATTCCTGGAGCGACGCTCACCCCGAACTGGAGCCGGTTGCATTTAAATGCGCCCCTATGCGTGACGATAGTTTGCGCCTCCGCGGTGGCCAGATCTACAGGCAATTGTTGATATGCCTGTGCTAGGTCTAGTTTAGCGAAAACTTTCCCGCCACCCAGGGAATGGAGCAGGTGTTGCACTACCGGCACTGGATACGCACTTTGCTGAAGTGCGTGGTTTAGGGTGGCCCGGTAGTCTCCACAAATTCTCAGTGACCCATCAGGCTTGATAGGCATCACTATTGGGGTTTCCCATCGGGCGTGGTCGGTGGGTTCCAGCACGCCCTGTTCTATTAGTTTATCGAGTTGTTCATCGATTTTAGGTTTCAGGGCAAATGGCACCCGACGCGGCTTAAGGCAGATGGGTGCTACCTCGGGGTTCAAGTTAAATGAGATCGGGGTCCCCTTGTACTTGCCTAGTCCGTTCGCGAAAACGTCTTGGAATTCTTGCACGAGGGCTTCCTCCCAATTGTTGCTCTCGGCACGGTGGACTCCAGCTACAATGATTCCAAGCGGTCTGAACCATTGAAGGCCTAAAAGACTAGGCCGGTCACGGTCCACAACAGTCAGTGGCATTGCGACGGTGCGGTCCTTGAAAGAGACCTGGAATCGGCGGGACCCGACAACGGGAATTCGGTTACCCTGGTAATCTTTGAGGATAACCCTTTGAGGGTTTAGGTCTTGGCGGCGAATCATCGGGATGAGCTGTTGAAGCGTCTTCCAGGACACCATCGAGAGGGATGATCCTGAGTCCACCTCCATTACACAAGGTTTGTTTTCGATAGCGACCTCTACTCGGATTTTCCCGGCATCAAGGGATGTAGCGTGGCCTATGGTAATTGTTTGGTGGGTCTCTTCCCGCCTGGTTTCTTCACGCCTGGTGGAAGTGGTGGACGGTTTGTTTCTGTAGGAGTGGCTTCCCCATTGGTGATTCAGTTTGTTTCGGGGTGTGCCGAAGAATTCTGAAGACTGGCATTCGGCCTGTCGGGGTTTGGAGTTTTGTTTGCTTCTGCAAACCTTTGCGATGTGACCTCTTTTCCCGCAAATGCGGCAGAGTGCGTCGAGGAATTTGCAGCTGGATCGTGGGTGATTCGCCCCACATCCTGCACACGGTCGGGATGAGGGTTGTGTGAACTGGTCTCGTTCCGTTCGGAGTCGGTTGACCTCTTCCTCATCGCTTTCTGATGGGGATTCTAGGTCTTCGTGGTGAGTCGATACCGGGTGTCTCTCTGAGCGAGGCGAGGTATCTTTGGCGAGTTGACGTAGCGGTGCGTTGGTGCGGCGCATTCGGGCTGCCGACTTTTTGGTCGCCTCCGCTGCAGTGGCTTCTTTAAGGGCATCGGTGAGGCTGATGTCCCCCTTAGCCATAATTTTGCTCTGGATCGTGCCGCCTTCTAGGCCCAGAACCAGGCGGTCTCGGAGGGCTTCTTCTAAATCCGAGAATCCGCAGAGGCCTCCAAGTTTGCGGAGGTCCGCGATGTAATTGGCAAGGCTTTCACCTTTCCGTTGGTCCCTCTGGTAATATTCGTGTCTTCTGACTAAGGTTGGCACGGTGGGCGCGTAGTGAGCCCGTAGCAAAGGCTCGAGGACGTCCCAGTCCATCGCTTTTACTTCGGCTGGCTTGGCAAGTGATTTTGCCATTTTAAACACGGTAGGCCCGCAATGGGTTAGAAATATAGCTCTTTTTTTGCTGGTTGTAGCGTCTTTCAAATTGTTGGTCTCCAGAAACATCTGGAACCGATCCATGTATGACTCCCAGTCTTCGGTTTCTGGGTCGAATGGAGCGGGTGGTATGGCACCGCTGGTCATGTTGCCGTTGATGGTGCGTGTTCGACCACGTGCTCTGTTGGTTGCTCTGTAACTCAGTCAGCTCTTCGGTCTCCGCATCCCATCCTCGTCGCCAGTGTTACGTTTGGAGAATAATGGAGACCAGACATCTGACCAGTGACTTCAACTCTTTAATAACAATAATTAGAATAGAACAGAGCAAGGCTATGGCAGCAGTAGCCCCTTTTATAGGGTTGGCTGCTACCCTATTAACCAATACTAAGTGCATCAAGTTCAACTAATAACCAATAAGAAGTGTCCTAAGCTTGGCCAATCAGAGGCTTGTTATGAACCAATCCTTGTTCATTGTTTAAGGACCAATCAAATGTGCAGGCTCCCAAAACCTGCTTTGCATTTAGGTTTAGTAATTTTTATTCATTCACAACAGTCACCACACTATAAAAAAGTTGTTGAGACTCTAGAACAAGTACAGAGAAGAGCAACCAGGATGATTAGGGGACTGGAGACTAAAACATATGAAGAATGGTTACAGGAACTGGGCACGGCTAGTCTAGTGAAGAGAAGGTCCTGGGGAGACATGATAGCAAGGTTCCAATATTTGAGGGGCTGCCACAGAGAGGAAGGGGTCAAACTACTTTCTAAAGCACCTGTAGACCAGATAAAGAATAATGGATGGAAATTGAACAAGGAGAGATTTAACCTGGAAATAAAGAGAAACTTTCTGACAATGAGAACAATCAACCAATGGAACAGCTTGCCCTCGGATATTGTGGGAGCTTCATCACTTGAGGCTTTCAAGAAGAGATTGGACTGCCATTTGTCAGAAATGGTGTAGGGTCTCCCGCTTGGGTGGGGGATTGGACTACATGACCTACAAGGTCCCTTCCAATTCTGATTACCTGTTATCTGTTACAGGTTAGTTTTATATTCAAATGAACTCAGAGATGAAGAATTACATTTTATGTCAATAATATCTCATTCCATTAATGTGTTCCACTTCTTTAATCATTTATTTATTGGTTTAAATGATTTACAGTGCTGCCCATCTCACAACAGTGTGGTGCAAGGTTTAAATAAGTACAACGTTTGAATGAAACTTTACCTAACACTAGTGATTTGTGAGTACTGATCATAACACTGTAGGTCAGAATGGGTTGTCAACAATCCCCATGAACTACTGGGGCTACATATTGGGCATGGTATAGCTACTACTGAGTACAGCCAGAGGTAAAATGATCATTTCTCTCTCCCTTTCTCCAAAGTACCTTCTTTATATTTACCACTCTTTATTCAATTAGTTGTTGATGGCAAAATAGATTACTTGGAGGGTGGAGGTTCGTACTTCGAGCTTGTGGCTAGTTTTCCGAACATTTCATTACCAGGTTAGGCAGGGGTGGGATTCAAAATTTTTAACAACCGATTCTGTGGGCGTGGCTTAGGTGGTAGGTGTGGCTTGGTGGTCATGTGACTGGGTGGACGTGGCTTGGTGATCATGTTATTGGCTGGGCGTGGCCAACTCAATATCACTCACATTGAGGCACGCATCTCCTCGCCTGGCCTCTCATGACTGTGGGGAATGCTGCAACAGTCGTAAGTATGAAAAATGGTCATAAGTCACTTTTTTCAGTGCCATTGTAACTTTGAATGGTCACTCCACACAAGCAAAGTACTAGCAAAGGAGAGAAAAAAAACTCCAGAGCAGTTCCTGAGACAGGAAGTCTAGTCCTGCCAAGAATGTAATTTATTTATTTATTTATTTATTTGATTTGTCAATTGCTTACAAGATAATAGGTATAAGTATGTACATAGTTATGAACACATGAAATGGGTACATATAAGAAAAATAAAAGAAACAATAGGACAGGGACTGTAGGCACGTTGGTGCGCTTATGCACGCCCCCTACAGACCTCTTAGGAAAGGGGTGAGGTCAATAGTAGACAGTCTAAAGTTAAAGTTTTTGGGGTTTGGGGAAGAAACCACAGAGTCAGGTAGAGTATTCCAGACATTGACCACTCTGTTGCTGAAGTCATATTTCCTGCAATCAAGTTTGGTGCGGTTAACCTTGAGTTTGTATCTATTGTGTGCTCTTGTGTTGTTATGGTTGAAGCTGAACTATTCATTGACAGGTAAGTCATTGCATTGTATGATTTTATATACCATACTTAGATCAGACCGAAGACGGTGGTCTGATAATAAGGGTTAACGGAGAGGCAGTTTCTGTAAGCAACACCAGAATGTTTCCTTCCTGCCTTCCTTACAGGATTAGGCCAGTAATTTCTTCTAACAACCGGGTCTCCGAACTGCTTAGAATGTTAACAACCGGTTCTAGCGAATAGGTGCGAACTGGTAGAATCCCACCCCTGAGGTTAGGTAACATCTTCAGCTGAGTTTAGGGGATTTCTAATTAGGTTGAAGACCAAATGTTTCTGAGTCACAGCTTGCCCTCTCTGTTATAGGCAAATCCTGATTAAAGTTGTTGATTGTGTGCTTACAGTTTAGGAAACCAACTACTATCATACTTCATAAATATTTCTATTGTGAGGGCCACTCCTTGAGAAGACCAGGAATTTGAAAATTTATTTGCAGTGCTAATATGATTCAATTTTATAAAATATAAGGCTCCCAGGGTCTGCTTTAGGTCTTATGGTTGTTGTTTTTTAATGATGACACTTTTCTTGCTAGAAAAGAGTTAATCATAAGAGGTTTGGTAGTGAACTTCTTGTATGAGGCTGTTAGCTCTGATGACTCAGAGGGACTATTCATTTAAAGGTATGAAATGTGACAAGGTTTATTTAATAGGTTTTAATTCTATGCTGTTAGCTTTTAAATTCTCAAGCTTTACAGTATAATCTAATTATTTTTAGCTCTATATATGAACAGTATAAGCTAAAAATGCCAATATTTCTCTACCTGCTACAGGAACTGTAATCCAGTACAAGAGATTCCAATAAGCTGCTTTCTAAAATGAACAGAACTATAGAACTATAAAATCAGCAAAAATTACCTGTAAATTTGATCCTATCTCCAAGTAACCAATGTTTTCTGTCCCTACATTATATTCTTTGCCTCTTTTCCCTCTTGACAAAGCTAACACTGGAGAGGAATAGAGAAAAAAAGCGAGGGGAAAAAAGAAGTAGTTTTATGCTGCTGCTGGACTAATGTGGTATAATTGTTTTGGTGTGATTTGGATTAGATTTGAAGCTCAAGGAGTTTAACTAGAAACAGGCTGTCACAACCACACACACACTCACACACATACACACACACAGAGGGAGAGAAATGCACACAGGCACCATATTCTATTTTGATCATAAATTCAAATAATTCGATATGGCCATCTTAAAAAAAAGAAAAAGAAAATGGTGTGAAGAATTTTCTGACAAAAACACAAATCATTCAGAAGGGTAATTCTTTTTAAATAAAACGTAGGAGAAAACAACTTTTGCCTCATTCGTTCCTTGCAGGAAAGGTTTACTGCTTCAACATGGCTTAAGTCTGACAAATGCTTACAGTCGCACTGATTTACTGTATGTTGAATTCCACCTACATGTAGTTTTTCTTTGGTTTTGTTTATAAGCAGCACTGCAATGATGAGGAGACCATACTATTCGAAGGAAAGATTTATTTTGTTATGTTCTTTCTGAAAGCTATGAAATAGAAATAACATCAATATATTATTAAGATATTCAATCTTCAGATTACTGGGATGGAAGAAGCAACAAATTAATTACCTCTTCTCCCAACTGCATTTCTCGGATAGACCGAAGGTGGAGTTGAGGACCCTCAAAGATGACCACACAATTAGGATCACAACTGTTGTTCAGCAAGGACATGCTAATGAAGAAAAACAAAATCCAGATTTGAAATAGATATACAGGAAAGTATTTATTCTACAAATCTGTCTAGCTTAGTATCTCCCAGGTTGATACTAGAAATTGCATAGGGAGGGACTCAAAGATTAATTGATTTATGAGGTTGCCCACCATTCCTTAACCCACATCAGATTTGTAGCTTAGTAGTACAACTCCCAATTAGGCAAACCAAATCCTCCTCTAATTCTAGCATCTTGCAAAAGTTTTAACTTTATTCTTGCTTTCTTACCTTGCCATATATATTTCAACACAATTTTATTTAAATCTTCAAAGTAGTCTTTTCCAAGCCTAATTGGAATTGTTTGAAACAAATATAAAATTCTGGGTAATATATTCATCTTGATTGTTGAAATTCTCCCTATTAGTGACAGTTGTAAATTTTCCCATTTCGCCAAATCTAGCGCTATCTGCTGTTTAAGTTTGATATAATTATTCTCTTTTAATGTACTACATCTTGCTGTCAAATATATCTCCAAGTACTTAATCTTATTCGTGACCTGAATTTTCAATAGGTCTGCCAGTTCTTCCTGAGGATTTCCGGTTTGTCGGCTTTGCGAGCGGTAGGGATTCGCGAAGCTGCGCGATCCCTGCCGCGCTAGCCGCTTTTGGGGCTCCGATCCGAAAGGGTGCGGAGCAAGGCTGCCCTGCAGGGGCAGCTGAAGGTAGGAGGGATCCGGAAAAGGGTTTGGGGGTGTTGCAGACCCCCTCCCTGGCCGGCAGAACCCCCTTTTACCAAGACGGCGTAGCGGCGGTCCGTAATGGCCGCCACAAAGAAGCCGACAGCTGGGCAAGTATGCGCAGGAGGAAGAGGAGAAAGTTTTTAAAAGTGAAAGTCTTCTTGGTCGATCCAGGACTCTGAGATATATTTAATTTAATTCCTGGAAGTAATGGCTTTTTGGATGTTTCTTTCCACAAGAGAAAGTAAGCGGCAATTCTGAGGTGCTGAAAGGAAAGTTTACTCTCCCTCCCGACGGAATTAACAAACGGATATTGAGAAACCTGTTTTTTTTTCAGGTAAAACTAGCTTTATGGGATAAGTCGGAAGGGAGAGGACAAAAAATATATTTATCTGGTTGGATTTTGTTGGAGGAGATGCCTTAAGGATTTGGAGACAGAAATAAAATTTTAATAAGGCTTCAAAACACAGATTTGGATTTTCTTTTTTCCTTTGTCTGATACTACCCCTGGAAGAGAAAGAGGAAAATTTGGCTTGGCTTGGATTGATTGAGGATTGTGGACTTTGGGATTGTCTTACTTTTCTTTTGGAATATTTTGGTTGGAGTAAGAAGAAAGAGGGAAAAAAGAAAAGAAAAGATTTATAATGGCTTTCTCCTTTGAGGAACTGAGGGATGAATATGAGCAAACAAAAGCAGCCTGTAAAGATGGTATGGAAAAAGCTTTTCTATTTTTAGAAATGGCGCTGGTTAACTATGAACAGACAATGCGACAGATGGAACAACAACAAGAAGAAGACGAAGACACCATCTTTAATGAATCCCAAAATTTATCTAAGAAAGAAGGAAGGAAGAAAGCGAGGAAAATGAAGGACTTAAGATCTAAAAAAACATTCAAGAAAGAGAAAAATATGATGCAAAATAAATACAATGATAGCAAACAAGAGAAAAAGGGAATACAACAGAGAAGGGATGCCAGCACGACAGAGGTTAGAAGAAGGGGGGTAGGAAGATCTGGTGGGGGAAGAAAGAAAGGGGAAAGGCGGAGAAAAGCCACAAAGTTTTAAAATTGGATGGGAAAAGAGGAATCTTTTTTAGGGATAAAGGGTAAAGTATAAATTTTCTTAAAAAAGATTTTGCAAGGTACATAAGATGGTATTGTAATATTTGTATTAGAAATAGAAAATTAGAATGGCTTAAGAGTTAATAAGAAATTAAAATGTTGAAATGTTTAATAATGATTGATTTTTTAAATGTAATAAAATATTGAAGGGAAAGGCAATGAGAATGCTATAAGATTTATTATTTAGATTTATTATTTAACTACGTATTTAGGAGGATACTATGTATTTAAACATTTTCGATTTATTACTCTGTTTTTATTGTTATTAAAAGTAAAAATTAATAGATAGAATGTACCAAGCAGAATCAGATTGGGTATTAGGTGTCATTTTAAATGTTAATCTAATATTTAGGGAGAGGATAGAAAGGCATCATACTCTGATTAGAGATTTCAGGAGAAATTCTTTTTTTTTTTTCATTATAAGGAATGAGATAGAGGGATAATAAAGGATGGGCAAAAGATACAAATATAATGATTTAAATTAAGATGGATTGAATAAGATAGAATTATGAAGAGTGAAATGTGTGGAGAAGTATATATAGAAGATACAGAATGGTAAACAAAATAGGTAATGATCTGTAAGATGAGCATGAATATAATTAAAGCCCATATAAAGAGAGGTACCGGGGGCCAAGTTACTTTACTAAAAGATTTTTTATATGTTTGTTTGTGTCTGTTTATGTTTTTGAGAAGTATTGGTGAAACCTTCTAGAAACACAGAAAGAGAATGATGATAATCAAGTCAGAAAGAAATAGAGGACAATGAGATGTTTTTATGCTCATACAGAAATGGTTTAAAATAGAATTGTATTGTATAAGATAAGGTTTTATCTGACTTGTAAAATTTATAATGGAAAAAGGTTCAAATATGTAATGGTTGATGATGATTTGTTTGTTTCTGAAATTAATAAAACTTGTTAAAAAAAAAATAGGTCTGCCAGTTCTTCCTTTTGTCTTAATAGCATATTCTTTGTCAAGATCTTTGTCTTATCTTTATTTATTTTCAAACCAGCCACCTTTCCATATGTCTCTATCTTTTCTATCAATTTTGATGCTGTTTCTAAAGGGTCTTCTAAGATGAAAACCAGATCATCTGCAAATGCTTGCAGCTTAAATTCTTCCTTTTTGATTTTCATTCCTTTTATATTCTTTTCATCTCTAATATTTCTGTTTAGCACTTCCAAAGTTAACACAAACAAAAGTGATAGTGGACACCCTTGTCTTGTTTCTTTTCTTATATTAATAGAGTCTGTCAGTTCTCCCTCTATCATTACCTTTGCCGTTTGCTTATAGTATATAGTTTCTATTGCTTGAATAAATTTTCTAGCAAAACCCATCTGTTCCAACAATAATAACATGAATCGCCAATCCACATTATCAAATGCCTTCTGTGCATCTAGAAATATCAGAGTCATTTGTTTTACAGGATGTGCCTCGTAGTATTCCAAGGTGTCCAAGATTACTCTCATATTGTCTTTAATTTGTCTCTTTGGCAGAAATCCATTTTGATCAGGATGGATAAAATTATTTAAATATTTTTTAAGTCTTTCTGCCAATATTGAAGCAAAGATTTTATAATCTGCATTTAGTAGAGACTATAGTATTTCCTATAGAAGTCTCGAATGATTTCCTTCTTCTCTTTGCTACCATGGCAAACTTGGCCTTGGTCATCTATTAATTGCAATATTTTCCTTGATTCTTTCTCCTTTCTCAATTTGTATGCTAATTATCTACCTGGTTTGTTTGTGTCTTCAAAGTAGTTCTGTTTAGCACCTCTAATTTTCTGTGCTAATTCTTCTTTTTCTATTTGACCCATTTTGTGTTTAATTATATCCATTTTTAACTTGATGTCCTTTTTCTGTGGCATTTTCTGTAGCTCTTTTTCAAGTCTTTTATGCTCATCCTCTAGGGCCTTAGAGGCTAGTCTTTTCATAGTATTCCTTTTCCTTGTATAGTCTATTATCAAGCCTCTAACATATGCCTTCATTGTATCCCATATGTTCTGAATTGATATATCTTCTTTTTTGTTTTCTCTAAAGAAAAAAGGCAATTCTTTCTCCATCCACTGTGTGAAGTTTTTTTCCTTTAAAATAGTATTATTTAACGTCCATCTAGATCTTATTTTTTGTCCTTTCCATTTAATTGTCATTGGATTGTGATCTGCCCAAGTACTTGTTTCAATATTTATTTCTTAAATGTTAGTTATTAATTCTGTTGACATCCATATCATATCTATTCTGGACCATGATAAGTGTCTACTTGAATAGAAGGTGTATTGTTGAGTTTTAGCATTTCTTTCTCTCCATGTATCTTTTAAGTTTATTTCATCTACCATTTTAAAAAAAGATTTAGGGAGAGTCTTTCTGTTTTGCTTTATTGTTTTCTGTGCTGTATAGTCCAATTTATTGTCTACAATTCCATTAAAATCTCCCATCATAACTATATTAGCATAGTCCAGTTCAATTATTTTCATATGTTTTCATATTATTGTCCATTATTTCCACCATTAGTATTCTTCCATCATCATCGGTATAGATAAATTTTGCTGGGGTGGTCTCTTTAATATATAAAACCACTACTCTTTTCTTACATTGTGTCAAGGAAGTAAATATTTTCCCTAATTTTGGCTGTACCAACAATTGTTCATATTGTTTTTTAATATGTACTTCTTGTAGACAAATTATATCAAATTTTAATTTCTCTAATTTATGAAAGGTTTTCCTTCTTTTAACGGCTGAGTTAAGTCCATTTATATTAATTGTAATCAATTTTTTCTCTTCCATGGTTATATTTTGTAGTTAAGTTTAGCAGCTCTCGTAGATCTTAGTTCACGTTGTTCTTTGGCTTCCACCTTTCCACCTACTGCACCTTCTTCTTTTTCAGTCGCCATTTGGCAGTCCTCCTGGAATTCAATTAGTGAGATCTCTTTTTCTGCCTCTTCCTTTTTCCCTCCAAAAAATTCTGTATAAAATAATTCCACTTTCTCAATTGAGTCAATTCTATGTCTCTGTTCTTGCCATGTGAACATTAAATCTTCTGGAATCAGCCATCTATAATTCACCTCTTTTTAAAGTAGCATTTTAGTCAGGAATCGGTATTCTCTTCTCATCTCTCTCACTCTTCTGGGTATTTGTTTCAAGACCACAATCTCCTTGTCTTTGTATTTCAATGTTTTCTCTTTTGCCACTTGCAATATTTGCGTTTTAATGGCTTTCTTTGTAATCTAATGTGAACTTCTCTTGGTAAGCTATTTCTCATCGCATATCTTGTGAAAACTCGATAAACCTCATCTATTCCATCCATCATCTTCTCTTGAGTTATTTCCAAAGCTTCAGCCAGTATTTCTATCATTATCTCAGCTAAGTTTTGTCCTTTTTCTTCCTCTACGTTTTGGAATCTAAGATAGAATTCTGATCTATCCATCTCCCATCTCAACATACCACTTTTATCTTGTTCAACCACCATTAATCTATTATCAATATCTCCAATCTTCTTGTCTCTTTGTTTATCTTCTTCAATTTTTTGGAATCTCTCATCATACTTCAACATCATTTGTTGGATGTTCTCCACTTTTTCATCGGTTTTCCCTGTTCTTTGTTCAATGTTCTCTGTTCTTTGTTCGATGTTCTCTATTCTCTTTTCAATATTCTCTGATCTTGCTTGAATATTTTGAATTCCTTGCATAATCATCTGCAGAGTCACTTTTTCTTGTTCTTTTTCTTGCTTTAACATTGTCTGTATTGAACGTTGTCCTCCAGATGGTGGAGAGGAAGAAGTAGAAGTTGAAGAACCAGGAGCTGTAAATTTCCTACTCATTTTAAGCAATTCAAAATCTTCAGGTTCTTCTAAACCTTAATCCAATTGTGAAGTAACCAATTATAGTTCAAAATAAAAATAGTAGAAAAAAGAAGCCCAATAATAATAATTAAAAAAAAGAAAAAGGAAGGGAGGACAAAATTTCTTCAGGTTCTTGTATACCTTAATCCAATCAATAGTTAGATGAAAAAAAAGGCTTAAGAAAAAAAAGAAAAAAAAGGAAAAGGAAAAATTCTTCAGGTTCTTCAACACCTTAATCCAATTGAAAGGTCTCAAATAGAAAAAAGTACATAAGAATAAACCAGAAAGGTAGATGAAAAGACAAAAATACCAGGAAAGAAAAAAAAGGCTTTTAAGGCTTTCCCTTTAAAATAAAAAGCAAACGTAGAGATTGAACTTCCAAAGAAAAAAAGAAAAACAAAGACAAGCTCCAACAAAGCCAAAAACCCATATAGTTATTGCAAAAAAAAAAAAAAAAGATAAAAAGAAATACAATAAAGCTGGTGAGGAGGGATAGCACAACTTAGAAAAAGTAAAAAGGGCACACTGCGCTTTAATTATCCAAGGCTCTTATTATAGCTCTCTTCTCCAAAAACTTATCACCTTTTTTCCCCCTAAGTTTCAACACCAGACTCCAGCTGTTGATAGAAACCCAGAAGAGCACCTGCAATAATACTCTCCCGTGCTCTTCCCTCTATCTTATCAAATAGCAATGTCCTTGAAAAAGAGTCTCAGTTCTTTCTTTCTCAGCTTTGTCTGGTCACAGGGAAATAGAATATTTTCAAGCCTCCAGTTGGCAGTGTAACAAAGTTTCTTTGCTCTCACTTTCCCCCTCCTTTTCCGAGCAGGATATAATAAGAATTAATAAGAAAAAGAAAAAGATATTTTAAAAAATTGAAATAACTAAAGGGAGCCTTCTAGCCTAAAGTATCACAAAATCAAAAAGGAGAAGAAAAAAATAGATATAAACGAAAAAACCAGTCCAGTTTCAAAATACAAGATCATATATAGAAAATCCAGCAATGAGGAAAAAAAATTTTACTTTGACATTCCTGTTTAAAATCTCCGCTTAATCACTTCTGTCAAAACTTTTACAGATTCTTTCTTTTCCTTAGGGTGTTCTTTCAGATCTTAGAATAAAAAAAGAGTTCTCACCAAACCGGCACACTCTCTCTTTCTGTTCTCTTCCATTTCGGAGCTGTCCCAACTTCAGCAGCTTTAATGGCTGCCTGTTTGCCGCTGGCAAGAAGAGCTTCTCCCGGATCTACCAGGGACTTTGCGGTATCCCTGGGATTGACAGGATGCACTCTTCACTTTCACCGTCTCTTCAGGACGGTTTAGATCCGATAGGACCATCCAGGAGCAAAGATATCGGCAGTGATCTCAGACCTCCGAGATCGCATGCCGTATCGTCGCGACGCCAACTCCACCCTCCAGAATTGAATATGACTGAACAGAAAGAAATAAACTATTGTAGAAGAAAGAGGCAACTGAAAGTCAAAATCAAAGGAAAGTGTATAGATTTGATTGCGTTTCCAAAATTTGCCATGAATTTTTATTTTCCAATATAAAGGAAGAAAATGTTAAATATGTGGGAAGTAATTTTATTAATTGCATTAATATCATTAAATTAGAGATTTTAGACTGCAACCTGATCGTGCCAGTCAAGGGCAACCTGGGGCAATCTCTGGTGAAAAGCTTTTCTCATTCACTGTCAGAATAGTCGGATGGTAATATAAAACCCAAATCATCCAAAGTGGCAAGAACAAAATGAAGGTTGGTGTTTTCACTGGGTTGACCAACTTTTGCTCTAGTGGTCATTTTCTATCTTGGTCTCAGCCTCAGCCCTCTTGTGCTCAGGATTTGCACACGTCTTTCATGCAATTCTGCTACATTTGACATAAGGAATCTAGTCTCAAAATTATCATAGCCCTATTTCCACTACATGCTGTGAATTCAGAGACTTTAGTGCCATATATTCAGTTTGATAT